GAGATTTAAGTCATAATTCTTAGGAAAAATGTCAGGATTCTGAGAAAAAAAAAAGTCAGAATTCTGAATTCTTATAAAAGCAGTGAGAAATTTAAGATTGGACTCATAATTCTTACTTTTTCCCCCATATTAAACTAAAATATATATTTTTTTTTTCAGTGGCCCTAATCCTCTTCCATAAAATTCAGTGTGAGGAATTCAATGTGTAGAAAAGAATATCTGTGTTTAAAATTCGGTGAACAAAAAAGGCAGATTCCAATGAGACTGTGTTTCTTCCATAGAGTCACATAAATCACTCACACTTATCAAACTCTTCATCGCTGGACTCGCTCAGAGCTTCTTTAGTGAAGCCTCTTCCTGATCCACTTGTCCCAGCATGACGGGTCTTGCAAATCATCCTCATTGACTACAAAGAAACAAATGTCCCTGTTAGATGGATCACACCGCTCTCTGCATCAAAAGCCCGTCTGTGTCATGACCGCCATGTTTAAATGGGAACCTTTTTTTCCGTTGACTCCAGTCCCTCATCCATCCAGCTCATCTTGGTAGTAACTCTTTCAAATGAGATATTATCGTTAATTTCATTCACTCCCCAGAGAAAGGTACGAGATTTAATATGGGATTTATAGCACACGGCCGAATAAAAATAATCCTAACCCTGACAAAATAAGCGAATTGTTATGCATCTGTAAACCCCGCAGCGATACATTTGGGGAAATAAAGGGTTAGCATTACCGTTAGCAACCAGCGGCTTACTAGTACTGATAATGCTAAAGCTAAACTAAGAAATTTTTTTTTTTTACCCCAAATCTACTGTTCATTCAAGACGACAGACACCAGATAAAACCGCTATAATATAAATACTATTTACCAAAGAATTACTGCGATAAGACGGAAGTGTCGGGAAGGCAATCACCGGTACAGTAAATTCAAACAGTGCACATACACCACGTCAGAAGTTTTCAGGAAGATAGACCAATCAGAGCAGGTTTCAAACAATACGTCATCGGGTCAACGGTCTTAGAGTGCGGAAATTACGGCAGGCCGTTTTGTCATTTATTAGCTTGACCGAAAATGTAATCCAGATGTCTATAATGCATTTCTTCATAGTCAGAATTAAAATTTCAGATCTAGAAACGGAACAAGGGGACAATATGGGATAATTCTACTAAATTCCATTAAGCTTGGATTCTATGGATTTGTTGCCCTGCTTGTGCTGCAGGTTCTTCACACCTTTTCTTCTCTGTAACATCTCTTGTAAATTTTCTGTTTGGGCAGCCGTTTCTTTACAGGTTTACAGCTGGATGGAGGAGTGATCGTAGACGTTTTCAAGTTTAAAACAGCTTTATAAGTTCATTCCGATTTTAAAAATGTTATCCCATACTGGTCTTTTGTGCTCTTAGATTTTATTAATGCCGTTTGGTAAAACTTAGAACTTTGGTAGAACTATAATGAAAAATGTTTTCAGTTTTATGCATTTATACTTCTTTCATCTAATTGTTGATCCACTAACAAAATCTTCCATGCATTGTCAAAACCTTGTTTCTGATCTTAAAGCTAGTGTGTAACTTTTAGCGACATCTAGCGGTCACACTGCAGCAACATGAACATCTCCCCCCCACCAGTACGGCGAGCGTTACGGGACAAAATGTCTTCCACGACGTCCGCATCACCTACCTTCTCAAGTGATGAGGTTTGTTTACATAGATAATTTTACAGATAGTATTTCATTAGTCTGTGTAGGGTATAGATTTCATGTAGACTTAAGATAATAAATATACCCGTTATTTTTTCTACATCGTTGTGACGTTTTGGCGATCTCGCAATCACTAGTTTGTTGGCTCTGCGCTGCCGTAGCGCAAAGATGTCTGCCTCCATGGCTGCGAGACCCGCTCCAATGTAATTATAAAATACGAATTCTAAGGCAACGCAAATATTAAGGTTAAGAGGCTGAGCTCGTAGATGATGATAAATAACATAGTTATGTATAATATATTACATTTCTGACTGTATATCCCTGTAATTATTACACACTGTAGCTTTAATGTCAAAAAACAACTCGGAGCAAAACAATTTGGTTTCAATCTCTTTTTTTTTTATTATATGTAGAGACTTGCAGCTTCACCAACAGCATACAGTTAAACAATACAAAACAGAACTGTTTAGAAAATACTTACCAATTTCAGGCTTGTTTAAAAAAAAAAAAAAAAAAAAACAATCCAATAAGATATTTTGATGTTTTAACTGAAGTTCAAACATGTTCCAAAAATTGCTTTTGTCCAATTATAAGCAGTTCAGTTTGACATCAAAAAGACGACACCTACTAAACAAAATCTTTTGACAAAATAAAAAGTTGGCATTTTTTGTGGGAGAAACTTTTTCAAAACGTACACATTTACTTCTTGTGGCCATTTAAGAGCAGCTCACACAAATTTGTCTCATACTGGCTTGATAAAGCTGATGAAACAATTTCAATGGTGCAACATTGTCATTTTAAAAACGTTTAACATTTAATTCAGTTCTAAACAGACCCAGTAAAGATAGATGGGCTTCCTCTCCACAAGCTGCATTTAGTCCCGTTTAAATGACAACAGGATTCAAAGGGAAATCCACTGTCCAAGGTACTGAAGGGAAAAGCAAGGTATTCACAACCTTCTCATGCTCACAAATTACACCAAGTGTTTCAGTGCAAGAGTCTCAGACAAGTCGCCGGAAAATATCTCAGGCTCTGGCTCACCATGTGACTCGACGACAAGCATAATGGGAGTCCAAGTGTGAACATTTGTGGGCTCCTTCAAACCAAGAGTCCCCAATTAGAGTAAATGAGAGAAATTGAAACAGTCACTGAAGAACAGGGAGTTTGAGTGAACCCGACCGTTCAAACGGCGCTGCTGATCAGGGTTAAAATCGTAGCTAACATGTTTCAAGTTCAGGCGTTTTCACTGGTCTCCACTGTTTGGAGTTTGACCAAGTGATCTGGCTTGTTTCCGCTGCTGTGATGTTCCCACATTTGCAGATAGAGCCTTTCCAGGTCTATTGTGTACTGCTTGGTGTTGAACAGAGGGCTGCAGATTCGTTGTTTCCAAACACGTGCTCTGATCATCTTTAGGCTGCAGGAGGTAAAAACAAATATTAGATGTACTGGAAAACTTTATTTCCTTTTAACTTGGGTTCAGATAAACGTTTACGTACTATTCCATGTCGGATCCCAATTTGACTGCTATGTCTTCATATTCCTGACGAGTCTGAGCAATCAGCTCTGGGCAGCCCAGACAATTCAGTTGTGAAGCAGCAACACGGGAGGCCAGAGTCTCACCTAAAAGATTTAAGACGTTATAATCAAAGCAAAAATACTTTAACTGTTTAAACCAAGATGATGGCTAAGCCATCTCACCTGGCATTGTGACCATGGGCGTTCCAGCCCAGAGAACATCCATGCCTGTGGTGTGACCGTTGCACAGAGGAGTGTCAAGGCACACGTCAGCCAGCTGGCCTCTTCTCACATGCTCCTCCTTAGGAGCCACGGGGGAGAAAATGATGCGAGACCCAGGCAGACCCATGTTTTGGGCGTACTGCTGGATGTTCGGCTCACCGACAGCGGGGAAGCGAAGGAGCCACAACACGCTGTTGGGCACACGTTTCAATATCTGCAGCAAAATGGGAGAATAAAAAACTAAGAATACAAGAGGTAACAGAACTGTTGGGATAATATGTATTCAACTTACATTAGCCCACATTTGGAGGGTTGGAGGATCAATCTTGTAGAGCTGGTTGAAGTTGCAGTAGACGATCGAGTCTTCAGGGAGACCGTACTGGGAGCGGGTCGTCACTACGATGGTCCGCAGCACCTCCTCCCCAGTTGCAGCTTTGTTATTGATCTAAAATTGGGAATAAAACAGTGCTGTCTTGATACTTTTGCTTATAGCTTTTTAGTTGAGATGATTAATTAAATCGCTGCATCTCCATAAAACAAGCATCTTCAATGACAAATGTTTCTTTAGATTTGATCCTAAACCACTCAAAATAGACATTTGTTCAGGTGGTACCTGTGTGGTGGCCAAGCCGTTGCTGACTGTGAAGTTGTTGATTGTGACCTGGATTTGGCCTTGATTGATCATGTTGATGATTGCCTCTGCTGCTGTGTTCATGGGAATAACCGGCATGGATAGAGCTCCGTTTGTGTCTCCAGCAGCAGGCTCCTGGTTGTTGTCACACTTCATCTGGTCACAAATGAAAAGTTTCAACTTCAAATCCTTGAATGCTAAAACAGAAAACTAATGATGCTACTCATAAGGATCAAGAATGAGGAGTTGCTCATCTTATGTTTTGACCCAAATACTTGCTTTTAATTCTCAAACTGGTTTGGTTATTTTTTCTTTTTTTAAACACACCTTTATCACTTTGACATCTGGCAGGCTGTCTAAGAATGCTTTCAGATCAATGCCGTTCAGAACAATCCGGTTGTCGAAGATGTGTCCGTTGGATTTGAAGTCAATCACAGCTTTTTTCTGCAGGTTAAACAAGTGTTACAACCGTTTCTATGTAACAAAATAGATCAATTCTGCCAACAATCTTGCTGGACAAACCTTAAGATGAGGGAACATGTTGGCATGATCTCCAATGAAGAAAGTGTTGGGCATGTAGGCCAGTTTCTCAGAGTACTGTTCAGCTACTTCGACGGGAGACGTCTCCTTGTCAGTGATGATGTAGTCCATGAAAGGAGCTCCACTGGTTCCAGGGTAACCAAGCCACATAGCCTGGTAAAACAATACGAAACAGCTGATTGAACTTAGGTCACAGCCACAACTAACTCAACTGTATTACAGTATGTCCTCCTCTGTATCAACGGTCAGAAACTGACCTGAATAGGGGCGGGGCGGAGGGCAAACAGCTCATTCCGAGCTCCCTTGGTGTATCCGTTCATGTTGACCAGAATGTGAATTCCATCCTGCTGAATACGATCAGCTGCCTTTCCGTTGCAAGGAATCTAAGCAAAAAAATAAATAAACATGCACATTTTTAGAAGAAAAACAAAAGAATTTGATATCATTGTGGGTCTACAGATTACACAGGTCTACTAAGTAGTGCCTTTTCACAATAAAAAAAACAAAACGGCTAATTTATCTAAAATGAATAGAAGAGTTAACATTTAATTTCTTTTTCAGGAATAGCCTTTTAATAGATTGAAGGATAGAATGGTGCTTGTAGAAAGACTGACAAATGTATAGACTGATACGAACTTTAAACCATGGGTTAATCAAAAACCAAATAGTGTCTGACATTCAAAATATTTTTCTATACTTTTATCCTCTACAACCGGACCAGAAGCTTTAAGTATTCAACTCCAAAAGTTACCTGGGAAAGGTCTGTGAAGTGATGAGCTTCTGCAACCACTTTCACACGGAAGTTAGTGTTATCATCAGGGCTAAGAGCGTAGCAGAAAACCTTTGGAACAAAATTCAAACATATTTTAGGCAACTTTATCCATTAAAAATAAAAAAATTAAAATAAATAGATGGATGAATATTAACCTCAAACTTTTCAGGATTGTGCATTCCAGGGATGGACTGCATCAGATGGGAGGTGGGGTGGTTGCCAAAGTCAGAGCTGACATATCCGACGCGCAGGCGACCGCCGCTGCTCTTCAAGTCCTTAGGATGTTCAAAAGCAGGTTTGTGGAGCGCATTAATCTGTGAAATAAATAACAATGTTAGACAACAAGATCAGACATTGATCAAGTCAAATATAACTTTTTTTTTTTTAAATCAAAACTCCCCACCCTCCTTTCAAATCATCCACCATAGCAAGCAACCACTCCACCACCAGCCCTGCTGCTCCTTAATAGCCAACCGATCTCTTACCTTCCCCATATCCCAACATCCAGACCCCTCCATCACCACGCACCCAAAAATATAGTTTAAACGTTACTTGCTTTGATCATTGCGAGTACC